CGTTGCGGAGGTCCAGAACAAAGTTTTATTCGATATGAAGTGTATTACCGGTACCAAAATTGTTATTGGACAGCTATGATGGTCGGAAGTTATTGCTGCAGGCATTTGAGCTATGTAGAACATCATGTGATTGTTCCCTAGGTTGGGATTATAGTTCGATTCAGCTTTTTCAGACTTATACAGTGTATTGGTGCGAGATTCGGGCCCTATGATGAGTCATCTGAGGATTGGGTTCTGTCCTAAGGTTACAGACGAAGCATGAAGTGAGATCTTCGGTTAAGTTGCGTTGTCATGCCTACATGGTTGTGGTGACATGGAATCACCCCCAGGTGTATGTATGGTGAGCTCATGCAGTGATTTGATAGCTTTGGAACGACTCCTGGCATGTTCGAGGACGAACGTATATTTACGTGGGGGAGGATGTAACGACCCAGTTGGTCGTTTCGAGCAATTGCGTCTAGTTCGGCAGTTTGAGGTCATAAGTAACTTCACATAGTATATTATGACTTACGTGTATCATAGGCTCGGGTTTTTGAGTGGTTTTGAGTTGTTTTAGCTTTTGTTTTGTTATTTTGTCCAGAATTTTACTACTTACAAATAAAAATATCCGTAGCATGTTTTTTTTTGTTGAAAGTTGTTAGTACTTGATCTCCATATTGGTACTCTATAATTTATATTTTATGTTGTCTTCTTTTACCATATTATGTGAACATATGTTACTCTAAATTTAAGGTATCAAACGTTTAGCTTTACAATTAAAGGAAATTTCAAGCAACGATACACTAATTCTCTCAGATAACAATTTCTTTACGTCATAACTACAATTATGTCTACGACTACTATAAAAAAATACATAATCTATTCAGAAAAAGCTTAAAATTAATAAATAAACCCAATTATAGAACAAAACAACTACAAACCAATGGCATTAATAGTTAAAATCTATTTACGTAACAACCCGGTTGGTCGTTTCGAGCAATTGCGCCCGGTTCGGTAGTTTGAGGTCATGAGTAACTTCACATAGTGTACTTTGACTTGCGTGCATCATCGGCTCGAGTTTTTGAGTGGTTCGGAAATGATTTTAAGGAGTGACTCTCATTTGAGAAGCTCAAAGTTCAAAGAATTAACCAAGGTTTGACTTTTGAGTATTTGACCGCAGATAAGAGTTTCGATGGTTCCGGTAGGTCCGGATAGTGATTTTGAACTTGGGCATATGCCCGAATTTGTATTTGGATATTTCTAAGAGGTTTCAGCATCATTTTGCGGAAGTTGAAAATCTAAAGGTTTAGAATTTTTCTATGTTTGACCATGGTTTGACTTTAAAGATACCGGGTTCGGATTTTGATTTTAGGACTTGAAATAGGTGTGTTTTGTCATATGAAATTTGCCTGCAAAATTCGCAGTCATTTGGAGTTGATTTGTTATGGTTCGGACGCTTGGCTGTGATTCTAGAAGTTCTTGAAGTTTATTGTGATTCTCATGTGTTTTGGCATCCGATTCGTGCTTCTAGAGGTTTTTTTGGCGATTTGATTGCGCGAGCGAGTTCGTGTTATATTTTCGGACTGGTGTGGGTGTTTGGTTTGGAGTCTTTGGGGGCTCAGGTAAGTTTTGGATTGGTTTCGGATTGACTTTGTTAAATTGTTAAGTGCTGGTATTAGTTCCATCGCATTTGCGATGTTGTTGTCGTAAATGCGACTACCGTATTTGCGAGGTAGTCCTCGCATTTGAGAACCTGGACTGCTGGGAAAGGGATTGCATTTGCGAAGAAATGATCGCTTTTGCGAAGCCTGTAGAGTTCGCATTTGCGAACTCTGTATCGCATTTGCGATGAAGGCCTGGGCTGGGTAGGGTTGCTTTTGCGACAAACTGGTCGCTTTTGCGAAGACCAGTGTCCGCATTTGCGACATTTTCTGTCGCATTTGCGAAGGTGTCAGAACTGTTCAAGCTTCGCTTTTGCGAAGGATTCTTCGCTTTTGCGAGTTCACATTTGTGAACCCAGTGTCGCAAATGCGACATTTGCAGCTTGCTTATAGATGAGTATTCTGAAACTTAGCTTCATTTTATCATGTTTTGAATCCTAACCTCGATGGGAGGCGATTTTGTGGAAGGATCTTCATACCAAACCATTGGGTAAGTTCCTCTAATCAAATTTCAATTATATTTTATTAGTATACATTAGATTTAACATGAAATTCATGAGAATCTAAGGGGAAAATTTGGGGATTTTGTCGAAGTTTTGAAAAATGAAAATTTGAGATTTGAGAGTCGAATTGGAATCGGATTTGGAAACAAAATACGTATATGGACTCGTGGGGCTATGGGTAGTCAAGACCTACCCTTGGACCCGAGTTTTGATCGGGGCGGGCCCGGGGTTGACTTTTTGTTGATTTTTTCGATATTGTATAAAGATCATAAATTGTTAATTGAAATTGTTTTCTCTTGCATTGTTTGATGTATTTAAGTCGTGTTTGGCTAGATTGAGCCGAGCGATGGTGAAATTATAGAGGAAAAAGCTAATTTGAGTATTTAGTTGACCGAATTGAGGTAAGTGTCTTGCCTAACTTTGTGGGGGGAAAACTACCCCTTAGGATTCGAGTTGACTGTGCTAATTGTGTTATGTGAAAGCCGTGTACGCAAGCTGACGAGTGGGTACACAGGCTATATGTGGTATTTGACCGGTTTAGGTCATCTAGACTCTTTCCATGCCTTTAAGTGAACTGTCATGACGTGTTATGTCTCTCATCGTTAATCTACTCATATATACTTTATTTGACGTTGTTAGCTCTCATTGTACTTTTTACTTGATATTTTGCACTTATATGCTTTAGTTGAAGTTGTTGCCTTCCTTATTGTCTTGTGACCTCTTAATTGTTGCGTTCCTTCCATGACTCCATGCTTATCTGCTACCTATTTTAATTGTTGTAATTGCACGCCTTAGTTGTCTCATGCTTCATTTGTCCCATTGCTTTTGTAATATTTGTTGTGTTCCTTGATTTTTACAATTTTTACGTGATTCCTTCATTGTCGTGTACTCATACCCTATGATTGTAGAAATTCTTGTAAATTGAGTATTGGATTGTTGATGTTATTGATTTATTTTTGGATCGGGTTGCACGCTGCAACAAGAGGAATAAGGGAGGATTTATATCGATACGGTGGGATCGGGTTGCGTGTCGTGACAGGTGAAATAAGGGTGGATTGATATGGTGAAATAAGGGAGGATTATGATATTGACTCTGATTATATGGTAGAATCGGATTGCACGCCACAACATATATTTAATTATTATTATTGATATTTATATGGTGGAATAAGGGAGCACAGTGTGTAGGGTTGGATCGGATTGTGCGCCGCAATATATATTTATTTATTGTTATTGATATTTACATGGTGGAATAAGGGAGGATAGTCTTGTACAGTGGGATCAGGTTGCGCGCCACAACAATTTATGTGTTTTGTAATCCTTGTTGTATTGTGTTGGCTTCGGTTCTTTCGTACGAGACTTTGAGGATTGGTATTTCTGGTTTTTATTTATTTTCGAGGATGGAGTTATTTTTATTAGTTTACTGCTTTGCCGTCATTTCCTGATTTCCTTTTCTATTACTATTATTTTGGTAAATTGATTTTCAAGATAAATTTGCTACACTGAGTCATTATCTCATACCATGTTTAGTTGTTAGTAACATAATGATTTTAAATAAAATAATTAATAACATGCTTAACTTATGTGACTCTTAATTTATTAAATTCTGTATTCAATTTAGTAGCTTATCAGATACCTTATTTTATTTAAAAATGTTATTCTCTTCACCCAAATATTTTTCAAAATAAACTCATTTCTCATTGATTTCCTGTTTGGTTCAGAAACTGCAATTTTACATTATTATATATGAATAGATCCCTCGAATATTATTTATAGCATTTGAAACGGATACTATGTACCTGGTAGCACGTGGATTTTTCCGTGCGAAGTTATATGGAAAATGTGACCACAAGGTGTCATGTGTGTTAAAGGTTTGGAAGTTGTGATTTATGATATGAGATTACGAGAAGTGGGATTGTTGAAATTTGTGTATTAGGAATAATTTGATTGGTTGAGTTGTCATTGTTTTCCCAACTTGAACACATTCATACTTCATCGTACCCCGACTATGTTGTTGCTTAATTAATTGGTCACTTTTCATTGCCATTCATGTTCCCCTTATCTTCACTGTTGATTGTAATTTGAATTCTTTCTGCTATTGGTCTTACATTAATATTCCTTCCTTGTTAGCTTTATGTCATATCCTGCACAGGTTTACATGTCCGATAGGTGTCTTGACATGGCCTCGTCACTATTCTACCGAGGTTAGGCTTGATACTTACTGGGTACCACTGTAGTGTACTCATGCTACGCTTTTCCACATTTTTGTGCAGAACTAGGTACGTCGGATCGAGTTGGTTCTGACACTTATGCCTGTGCGGCCGGAGACTTCAAGGTACACCTGCTGAATGTTCGCAAGCTCCGAAGTCACCTTCTGTTGTATTTTATTTCAAATGTTTCATATTATTCCGGAAACTGATGTATTGTTATTTCTAGTGGCCCATAGAAAAGCTTATGACTTGTACTACCGATTTCGGGATACCGTATCATGTTGAGATTATCGGCTTATATCAAAATTTTCAGTCCATGTTTAATAGGTGTTTAGTAGAATCTGTTATCATTTTGGTAGGTGTTAGGCTTACCTAGCCTTAGAGACTAGGTGCCATCACGACATCCTACGGAAGGAAAGTGGGGTCGTGACAGTTTACCAAGCATTCATTATATGAGACAATCTTTATTCAATTTAACAACACAATTACACCACAACTATAATTGTCCAGAACACAAAACATACAACTGAATATGTCTTAAAGTACATATTATCATCAACAGTACTCAGTTAAAAAAAATCTTTATACTACATCAATTCATATTTCCTTTTAGGAGAATTCCTACAAGATCTTTTGTTATGCCCTTCTTATCTGCAGTAGCCACATGAAACCTTGTACTTCTTTGCATTTATTTCATCATATGGTTTGTATCTTTGTTTTTGAGGTCTCCTCAACCGCCTTTTCCCAGTAGGTGGCAGTACAACTTCTTCTGCTATATATTGTGGCATATCCCATTTGCTTTCAACAGGTAGAGGGTCTACTGGTTTTTTATAAGTTTGCAGAGGGCTCTCCCTAGTGTAATAAGGAGAACAATAGTTTTCGTAAGACTCGTTCCTGTGCTTCAAAGCCGCAAAAGCATGTGAACAAGGAAGTTCATCAAGCTGGAATTGTCCACAACTACATCTCTTGTTTTGAAGGCAAACAATGAAGCACTTCACACCATCTATCACAGTATGGATGTAATCTGTTGAAGCCCTTCACCTATATTTTTATTACAAACATACAACAAGTTGTCAACACTTGATTAAAGACAAAATAATTACAATTGTACAACAACATATCTACAATTAAAAGTATATATTTATTTTGATGAAATCAATTATATGATGTTATGGACCATAACTTACTCTCATCTTCTGCGATAATTTCCTGTTGTCCTCCAACTCTTTGTTGTATTTTTTTCTCAAGGTATGTGAACGTACCCTTTGCATTCAATAACTTTTCATTAGTCCAACGTTTAAGAAGAGTCCTCATGTACTCTAGTAGTTGAACTACGGGCAACTCTCTTGCATCTTTGGTTACCGCATTCAAGGACTCTGCAATATTTGATGTCATCGTCCATGTTCTATTAACTGTAGCATGTACTCGAGACCATTTATGATAACCAATATCGTATAGGTATGCTTTAACATGCGTGTCGATCTCTTCAATCTTTGACATTTTTTCATTAAATTCATCAAGCGTGTATGATCATGCCGTGGCAAAGTATAATTCGCTTAACTTTAGATGACCTTTCTTGAACTTTGACCTTACATTTGTCCAAATATTCCACATGGAAGCATAATGTGGCATGCCGGTGTAAATCGTAGATGTTGCCTTCAATATACTCTCATTCCGGTTAGAAACAGCACATATATTTGGTTTTTCACCATATGCATGTTTGAATTGCTCAAAATATCACCTTCATGATGCGTCATTTTCTGAATCAACAATGGCGTATGCTAGTGGTAATGTGCTACCTATCACATATGTAGCAAAAAGAAATTCAATTTCAGTAATAAAATTTGAAAATATCAAAAATACATTTTCATACACAAATTTAATACAATATTTTTACAATTAATCTACAATATCGGTTGCATCCATTGTGCTTGCTGTTAGCATGATTTCCCTATATGCCGACTTCAAGAAGGTACCATCGACTACTACAACTGGCCTACAATGCTCCCAACCCTTGATGGACGTACTAAGATGTCACGACCCAAAATTTTTCACCGACGGGACCGTGATGGCGCCTAACATTTCACTTGCTAGGCAAGCCAACGTTAGAGAATCATTAAACCAATTCCTTATTCCCATTCAGTAATTAACAATAATTAACTAAGATGAAATATAATAAGTGCAGAATATCTTAAAACTGTATTAATTACTACCACTCGGATCTGGAGTCACAATTCACGAGCATTCTAGAATTTACTACAAGTAATAGTCTGGAAAAAATACAATTGTCTGAATGAAAGAAATAGTAGAACAGAAAATAGATGGGGATTTCAAGGTCTGTGAACGTTGACAGATCTACCTTGAGTCTCCGGACAGCGGACCAATAGCAAAATCTCGATCAACCTGAGCCGGTATCAAAATCTGCACAGAAAGTGCAGAGTGCAGTATCAGTACAACCGACCCCATGTACTGGTAAGTGTCGAGCCTAACCTCGACGAAGTAGTGACGAGGCTAAGGCAAGGCACCTACAAATCAACCTATACAATTTAACAGTGTATATACAAATAACAAAAATGAAGAACTAAATAGGAAATGTCGGGAGGGGAACGTACTGAGGGGAATACAAGATAAAGAACAACAACAGAATGATCACCGGAGCAGTCAATATACCATGAATCGACAGGAATAGTGAATACAGTAAAGGAAAAATGCATGGCATTACCCTTCGTGCTTTTACTCTCAATCTCACCATAAAATTAATAGAAACGACACGGCATCACCCCTTGTTCATTAACTCTCATATAATGGCACGACATCACCCTTCGTGCTTTTACACTCACAATATGGCACGGCATCACCCTTCGTGCATTAACACTCACAACATGGCACGACATCACCCTTCGTGCATTAACACTCACAATGTGGCACGACATCACCCTTCGTGCATTAACACTCTCCCTTACCATAATGCAATGCATAAATAACAACAGGGATATAGAATAACAAGTACAAACCTTACTTCAACATTTGGTTCCACAATATAAATCTCAACTTTTAAATGAATACTCGATTACAAACAGAAAATCTGTAACCATGATAATGACGATCAATTTAACAACACTAGTATAAACATGTAGCAATTAGGCATAGGAAAGAGACAATATAAGAAAATGAAAGAAACATGAAATACAGGTAAATTGGCGGCGCATAAGTACTCGTCACCTCACATATACGCCGCTCGCATGAATTTTACTTAGCAAATAATCTAAGGTTCCTAATTCCCTCAAGTCAGGGTTAGACACGGCACTTACCTCGCTCCGAAGGCCACTTAATTCTCAATCACAGCTTTTCCTTTGGAATTCACCTCCAAACCACTCGTATATATTCAAAAATGACTCAATAATATCAAATATTGCTAAAGAAATCAATTATATAGCATAAATTAAATTTCCCAAATTTTCCTCCAAGAAGTCAAAAAATCAACCCCGGGCCCGCTTGGTCAAAACCCGAGGTTCAGACCAAAATCCATTTATCCATTCACCCCCGAGCCCGAATATGTAATTAGTTTTGGAATCCGGCCTCAAATTGAGGTCTAAATATCCAAATTTCCGAAATCCCTAGTTTTCTACCCTAACCCCTAATTCTATCATGAAAACTCTAGATTTTAGGTTGATAATTCAAGAAATATAATGGTTAATTGAAAGAAAATGGTTTAGAATCACTTACCAACACTTTGGGGAAGAAATAGCTCTTCAAAAATCGCCTCACACCGTTTGGTTTTTGAGAAAAATGATTTTTTGGCTAAATCCTGTGTTTGGATTCTGTTAAGTGTTGGGCGACAGTGTTCCTCGCGTTCGCGAGAGCACTGTCGCGTTCGCGAAGAGTATAGGCTGCCAAGATTTCGCATCGCGAGACCGTGTTCGCGTTCACGTAGGTTACCCCCTGGTCTTCGCGTTCGCGAGACATTGCTCGCGTTCGCGATGAAGGAACAATCGACTCTTCCTCAGGTGTGCCTAACACTACGCGTTCGCGAGGAGCTGGTCGCGTTCGCGAAGGGTAACGCCCCTATCGCTTCGTGTTCATGACTAAGCCTTCGCGTTCGCGAAGAAGAAAACTTTAGCTGCCCAGTTTACTCTTCGCACTCGCGAGAGTACCTTCGCAAACGCGAAGAAGGACCTGCCAGAACACCTGCTGCAGCAAAATACCAGATTTTCAAAGTCCAAAATATCTCGTGGCCTACCCGAAACTAATCCGAGCCCTCGGGGTTCCAAACCAAACATGCACACAAGTCTAAAAATATCATACGAACTTGCTCGCGCGATCAAATTGCCAAAATAACACTTAGAACTACGAATTTAGCACCAAATCAAATGAAATTCTCAAGAACACTTTAAAATTCCTATCTTCTCAACTGGATGTCCGAATCACGTCAAATCAACTCTGTTTCTCACCAAATTTCACAGACAAGTTTTAAATATCATAATGAACCTGTACCGCACTCCGGAACCAAAATACCGACCTGTACTCACAATGCCAAATATTAATCAATTCTTAGAATTAATTAATTTTCAGACTTTAAATTTCATCAAAAATATATATCTTGAGCTAGGGACCTCTGAATTCGATTTCGGGCATATGCCCAGGTCCCATAATTCGATACGGACCCACCAGAATAGCTAAAATACGGATCCGGGCATGTTTACCAAAAATATTGACCGAAGTCAACTAAAATCAACTTTTAAGGCATAAATTCTTATTTTAATTAATTTTTAATATAAAAGCTTTTCGAAAATATGTCCGGACTATGCACGCAAATCAAGGAGGGTAAAATGAGATTTTTAAGGCTTAAGAGTGCAAAATCGAGTTCTAAAACATAAGATGACCTTTTGGTCATCACATAAGAGCAACAAATGCATACAAGAAACAGTCATCTTCAGTCTTCTGCAATTTGACTACCGACCCCGGATAAGTCTTCTCCAAAATATACAAATAACTCGGCAATCAACCGTAGGAATCAGCAGGTTGACCTCTCAAAAATTCCAAAGCCTTTTCCTTTGCTCTCCAAGCTTGGATGTATGTTAAGTTCACACCATATTCCGATAACATGTCAGTTTGTATGTCTTTTGGTATGTATATTGTCTTAGGATCCACATATTTTGGCATGACCATGCTGCCAACTACCATGACAGTAGCTTTACGTTGTATATATGTGTTGTCCATTAACGAACTTATGTGCAAGCTATTGAATTTTCGAACCTTGAACAACGCTGATTCATGTATGCCTGTGGACTTGAAGTGCCACGTACAATTATCATCAACGCATACGAGGCAGTAGCTATAAAATAAAAACAATGATAAAAATGTTAGGCAAATTGTAGTTATTTTGTTGATATCAGGCTGTTTATGCACAACAAATTGTTCTAAACAATTTATATACATAAAACTACAACTTGTACACAATATGATTTTGACAAATAAAATGTTCTTACCTTCTTGCACTAGACCTTTTCACCCTAAATTAAAACTTATTCTGACAGCGTAGTGTTTCATTGCACTGACTATTGTTTGCTTGTCTTAGTAAACTTAGCCTACTTCAATTACTTTTGGCGTATGTTCTGTTATGATTATACTTTCATAGTCCACAATCGTTGAGGATGTTGGCATATCAATCAACTTCATTGTTCTTGATACTTCTCAAATTGTATTATAATTGCTTGACAATTGTACCACGTTAGTATTACGATAATCAGACGTACCTGCACTCATTTAAAAATATAGTAATTCAGACCTATGTATAATCAGGTGTTCAATATTTGACAGAAATTAAATTTGTATTATACGTGCAGATACTTTGTTATGTAATCATAATTTGCTTTTTTCAAACCTTAGTTACTGTGTAACAGTTACGCTTTAATTATTTTTAGAGATATAACAGTTGAACTGCATTTGTATGTAGTATAATTGTAGATAATTTGTAGTAAAATTGTAGAACACTTGGAATTGCAAAATATTAGGACTAAAAAAATAGAACAAACCTGTAATTGTACTCGCATTCGACATACTGCATTCCAAATCGAAATCCCTTACTGTTATATATAGCGGATACATTCCTAAGTTTTTGTTTTCCTTTTTCGTCTCCATATACTCTCGAACTCCCATATCGTTCTGAATTTCCATTGGAGGACAACATTCGTTGATAGTGTATTTTATCTCGATTATTTTTACATAAGTATCAATCATTAGATGCTCTGCAATCGCGGCATTCAATTGACTATAATTTGAATTCTCATTGACTACAATTTTGTCAACATCAAAATCTATTTATCTCCCAAAGCTATCCCACCGACCATTGAGCTGAAACATTATCGCCAATTTTGACATTATATCGCTAACTTCAATTCAATTGTAAAGAAACAATTATGCAATGCTATGAAAATTTTAAAATGTAGCTATATGTTCAGAGCTGGTAGTCAATTCTTCACGTTAATTTGCAATTATTT